TCCATCCTTTAAACACGAACCTTTGTGTACGGTGTCTCATCTAACCAAGGGAGATAACTTCAAAATGGCTACACGCGCCCCCTTTATTGTTCCGGCGCTGAAGAAGCACACGGCGACGGTGATCATGGCCCACGGTTTGGGCGACAGGTTGGTCCCTAGCATACAGCGCTCTAAATGATTTACCACTGGCTAACGTTATCCTGTCAACAGTGGTGCTGGATGGTACGTACACCGAGACTGTTATGTTCCACAAATTACCGACGCTATTCCTTCGAAACGAGACTTGAAATAACTGGATACAAATAGGATGGCTCTCGCCCAGAACTGGCGCCGCCGCGGCATGTTCGATGAAGTCGCCTTCATCTTCCCGAATGCCCCTATGATTCCTATCACAGTGGTATGCGATGGCCGTCACCTACGGAGCTCTGGGAATACTGGACTAAGTTGACGGGTAATAGAACTTTGGAATGTCCATGCCGGGATGGTACGACATCTCCAAGCTGGGTCGTGATGTGAGTGGTGCATACAGATCTATAATCCGGGGTAAAGGGACTAACGGCTGTATAGTTGGATTTCGAAGAAGCCATCCGTCACCAGGACGAACCGGGCGTCCTCCGTTCCCGTGAATACTTCAACACCCTCATCAAGGAGCAGATCGACAAGGGTATCAAGCCCTCCCGCATTGTCCTCGGAGGCTTCTCGCAAGGTGGAGCGATGTCCTTGTTTGCGGGTCTCACGAGCACGGAGAAGCTGGGTGGTGTCTTTGGTCTTTCCTGCTATTTGTTGCTGCATGACCGGATTAAGAACTTCATCCCCGAAAACTGGCCGAACAAGCAGACGCCCTTCTTCATCGCACACGGCGAGGAGGACGAGGTGGTCAAGTTTGATTTCGGTAAGCAGTCGGCCAAGATGATTCAGGAGTTGGGTGTTCAGGATGTCGAGTTCCATTCTTACTCGTGAGTGTTCTGTTTCCTTTGCTTTTTCTTGAAATGGCTTACTGATCTGTGGGTAGTGATCTCGGCCACTCTGCCGATCCCGAGGAGATCGAAGACTTGACAAGGTTCCTTCAGAAGGCTATTCCTCCGGAGGAGGGTCAGTCGGCCGCCGGATTATGACTTGGTGACGGCAGGTCCGTGCCTGCTGCACCATCTATAGGTGCGAAAGTCACATACAGCATTTTCCTTGGCATCGTTATATGGAGAATCGCGGTCATGCTGTTGGGGATCATCTCGGGAAAGAAACGGGATGCGCCGATAAAGCAGGATTGAACATACAATTAGCTTGAATACATAATAGATCAAGATGCATGAAATGACGAAATCTAGTAACCATCTATTCATCGCTCGTAATCGAATATTCCACCCACATCTACTCTCCCCTCAAAGCCTTCTGAACCGTAGCTTCAATAGCAGCCACCATAGCATTAGTATTCTCCACATCAAACGGCACCATATGCTTCGACCCGTGATCATGGAAACTCATTTTGCTCGGCTCACACAGCCTGGACAAATGCATGCTAGACGGATACAGCTCATCCTGCTTTCCCACAATATTTGCCGTGGGGATCTTGACCGGATACTCGCCCTCAGCCGAAGTGTCAGGGATGACCTCATTCCCAGTGCTGTCAAACGGTGCAGCACCGCAGATAAACACGGCGACCTTGAACAGAGGCTCTTGATGCGTCTTCGCATGGTGTACAATCATGGCGCATGCCAGGGCAGCACCTTGCGAGAATCCCATGACGGCGTCGAAAGGACCCTCACGCTCGATGATATCGTAGACGTGTTTCATTGCGGGGGCGAGATATTCGCCCGGTGCGCGGTCACGAGGATAGTGGTTATAGAAGGGGCCATTAAAGAGACCCTTTAGCTCTATTCAGGTGTTAGCGAACCATCACATGTCTCCAGATATACTCCGAATCTTTTGGTGTGGAGGGCGGGGTGATGTACGAGGCTCAACTTCAGCTTCCATGCAGCCATCGTAGTATTTGAATGTATGACCATATTTAGCGAGGTCGTAGGAGATTCCACCTGATTGCGATACAAGTTAGATTGGCAATCATAGCCAGGCGAATTGGACTGTTGTTCAAGTACCGGACTGGATCTCGAAGATCTAATGTTTTTGTTCCAACGGTTAGATTTGGATGGCGGGGAAGCGGAGATAAGCCAAAGAATAGAGATGCCCGCCAGCAGGGAAGATGCTTGCTTACTTCGGCGTTGGTACCTGCGCCGTGGAGGCAAAGGAAGCGCATTTTGGGATGGTTGTCTTGTGAAGGGGTTTCTTTTTGTGTCACTTCTTTCTGAAAAATTTGATATTGGGCAACAATTGCTGACAAGAGAAGAAGATGAGGAAATGTGTTGAATACTAAACTAGACTACGCCTTCCGACCGTCAGCTGAAGCACTGGCCTGCCACTATGCCACTAACGTAAGACAAACTCTCAGCCTTCTCCATCGATTTCTGGACTATCTCATCTGTCTCTGCATTTCTTCAGTCGTCATTCTGTCCAATCCAGACTATGCATCCTTCTCGGCTATTTACAAGACGATTGCTCGTCCTACCCCCTACATGCAACATGTGAGATGTCACAGTTCACGGAGTTTCCATTCATCGAAATGATCTCCGGCACCACCGAGGGCGGTGCCCGTGCCCCCTTCGAGACTGGTCTTGCTATCCTCTCCCCACTGTGACTTGAGTGGTTCTGCGCCTCTACAGTCTACATGGTCTTGATAGCACTTACTGCTGCTCGAAATCAATGGCATCTGTCGTCAATTTCCTCTCAAATGTGGTCTCCCGCCCCGTGGAGTCCTACTGCAGCTTTGGTCCAACGGTGAGTGAAATCACCTTTGGACTGCTGGGGTACTCCTTCAATCCGGAGCGCGACATCAACGATCTATCAGGGAAGGTTGTCTTCGTTACTGGAGGTATGTCTTCTACTACACAGCTTGGGCTATCTTTATCAGTGCGCTAACTTCTTTGCTTGTCTCAGGCAATGCCGGTCTAGGGAAAGAAACCGTCCTCCAACTCGCTCGTCACCGCCCATCTCGCATCTACCTCGCTGCGCGTAATGCGATCAAAGCCGAAGATGCCATCGCTTCAATCCGGGAGCAGGTCCCATCCGCCGATATCAGACACATAGCCCTCGATTTGTCCTCATTCAAGTCGATCCGCGCCGCTGCAGAGCAGTTCACGTCGGAATGCGATCGCCTGGACCTCCTGGTTCTCAACGCCGGAATTATGAACTGCCCGCCCGCTGTGACAGAGGAAGGATTCGAGATTCAATTTGGGACAAACCATATCGGGCATTTCCTACTCACCCAGCTACTACTGCCCACGCTGCAACGGACGGTTGAGCTTTCCAGGGATGTCCGAGTAGTGACATTGGCCTCTGCCGCGAATGTCGCCGCGCCTCCCTACGATGTCATGACCTCTACGCCGGCTTTATTAGCCGACCACACATTAACCCGGTACAGTGCCTCGAAGGCAGCGAATATCCTCTTTGCGTCAGAGCTGGCTCGTCGCCATTCGGAGATTCTGTCTGTCGCGGTACATCCCGGCTCCGTTGTGAGTGATCTTTGGGACCATACGATCAAGACGGGTGTCGTAGCCAAGTACACTATCGGTGCCATCCTTGCGTTCAGCCGGAGCATACGGAGCGGGGCACTTAATCAGCTCTGGGCCGCAGGGGCGAGAAGAGAACTGTTGACCAACGGGGCTTATTATGTTCCCATTGGGGTGCATGCCACGGGCAACCGGTATGCGAAGGACGTCGATATGGCGCGACGACTGTGGGAGTGGACTGAGCAGCAGATTGCAGAGAAATCGTAAACTTGTCCGGTTCCAATGTTGGTTTGGTTCATCCCCGCGGGCATCTCCTGTAGTTAAGAGATGTCGACGGATATTCTTCTCAGGATATGCGTGACCATCTTTTGGAGACAGCAGTGGCTGTTATGGTAACATTAATTTCTTAATACCTATGGAATAACATGATGTGATATCCAACGGTGCTTCAGGGTCCGGATCGCGGGGTTGAAGACGGGTAAACTCGCAGATTACCGGATGCGGTATGAGATGCCGGAAAACGGGTGGTGAGCGTCAATCCGGGCGAAAGCCATTGGTGGCACAATCTCGTCCCAAGGTGCCAAACAACCTCGCAAGAAAAAGGGACCAAGCTGCTGCCCGTGAAAAATAAAACCCCAATTCAACGTCCCAGCCAATTCCACAATACCTTGATGACATCTGAAGAGTTGCTGATCTCCCCCCATGGGCGCCAGTCTAGAAAGTCAGCAGCGGCCGCGATCGTTAGGGTTTAGCCGAGGAGCCTCCCTGTCCAGATTCCTCGTTTCGCCCACAACCAACTTCATCCAGCACGTCCACGAAGTGCCTTTCCCATGAAAATTGTAGTCCCATAGCCAAAAAAGCACATAATATAACCATATTATAAAGAACAATATCTTAAATTCTACTTAACGAGCTACACAGCGTAGAAAAATAAATCTCCATGTCGTAGAAGTACTGGGAACGTAAAGTCGGCTTTTGCATGCTCTGCTCCCCACACAAACCCGTCCGAAGCGCATCATCGAACTTGAACTATCCTCATCCTCATCCTCCCACTTCACCTCCTCCTCTTCTTCTCTCTCCAGCACCAAATACTCTCCCCCATCATCTCCTTTAGGTACGTATTATAGCCCCCCCTAGAACCCGTTTCTCCCTCTGGATATTTCGAAATACTTTGTCGCTTCTCCCACTCAACGACGAGTCATCCGCGAATCTTCTGTCCCGAATTTATTCGTTCCCAATTCCAATTCGATCCGGTCGCGCGAATTCGACACTCAAAACGCTCCGCTCCCCTCTTCTTTACGCGAGAATGACTCTGCACAATTTCCACAATACACACAATATACACTCAAAAATTAGGAAGATCGATCTCTGACGTCTTTGGGTTTTTTTCCCCTCCTCTTTACAGGTTGAAAGCACTTAAGCTTCAATACTCCCGTCAAAATGGATCAGGCAAAGTTGGCTAGAATGCAGCAGAGCGTGCGGATTGGTATGTACCACTTTTTTTCTCTTTATAATTTCTTTTGTATCTTTGCTATTGCTCCGTTCGCATCCGATTTATAATTAATAATCATGGGAGAATTTATTGGTGGGGAGAGAGCTATTTGGTGGTATCATGGGATCCCGATCCGATTCGATTCTGCGAGGAACGAAAGAGGAAAGAGCAGGAGGAGCAAATAGGCTCGCTCAAAAGCTCAGGATCATGTCGGATTGATTGATATTGTTGCGTGTCATTGTTGTTTTTATACCAAGTTATCTTGAGGAACAGCTAAAGCTAACCTACCTTTCTCACTCTGACAGGGTACGTATAATGACACACACACATTCGCATCCCACGAGACACACACACCACCACTCCAAAACCGACCCAACCTCGATATTAGAACCCACGAATCGAAAACTAACAACCAACAGAGGCAAGGGTACTCCCCGCCGCAAGGTCAAGAAGGTCCACAAGTCCTCCGGTGCCGACGACAAGAAGCTCCAGGCCACCCTGAAGAAGATGAACGTCCAGCCCATCCAGGCCATCGAGGAGGTTAACATGTTCAAGGAGGACGGAAACGTCATCCACTTTGGTGCTCCTAAGGGTATATCCCCACGTCCCCCCAACCTATCACAGGAAGCAGAATACTGAAAGAATTTCTTGATGGTATATAGTCCACGCCTCCGTCCCCTCCAACACCTTCGCCCTCTACGGCAACGGCGAGGAGAAGGAACTCACCGAGCTCGTCCCCGGTATCCTGAACCAGCTTGGCCCCGACAGCCTTGCTTCCCTCCGCAAGCTCGCCGAGAGCTACCAGAACATGCAGAAGAACCAGGCCGGCGCTGACGGCAAGAAGGACGATGAGGAGGATGATATCCCCGATCTCGTTGAGGGCGAGAACTTCGAGAGCAACGTCGAGTAAATTTAAAAACTTATTTTCATCTCCTTTTAACCATCAGCTTGAATTTTATTTGAGAGGAATTGATATCATCTTCGTTGCCCGCCCCTTGCCAACTTTCTTAAGTTTCTTTATTCGTTGTACGGACCACTTGTCGGTATATTACCCCATTTATTGGATTGGATGGATCCTAATATAGCTAAAAGAGGAAGGAGGAGGAGGAGAAGGAGGAGGAAGTGAATGAGGCTTCTGTGTGCTGCTCTTTCTTGCCCTGTGGGTGTGCGCGCTGAGCGGATTCTCTTTACTTTCCTTTCATGCTTATGGTATGCACTAGCCTTGGAGCTTGGAGCTGGAGCTGGAGCTGGGGCTTAGGATTGTTGGTCAGGGAGGAAGGGGTCAGCTTTTCTTATAATGACAGGAATGATTATACTTTTCCCAACTCGGAATTTCTGGTGATAAAGACGAACGCAACCTACATGGGTATTGGGTCTGTGTATAATCCCTACTGGGTCATTGATGACTGGTGTGAAACCTGGAGTGTAATGCGGAGATACTTGAGCCATGACCTATCTGTCCGTAATGATTGGACATTGTATCAATCGACGTAATACTATTCGATAGGCTCATGACCTCGACATCTACTATTAATGACACCTTCTATACTAAATGTGGTATCGATACCAAACACACTCGCTTTTCTTATGGTAAATAAAACACACCTCGCTGAACAAACAAACAAAATCAATGGGTATTGGTATACATGAAAGCATCATAAGATTAAAGAAGCCAGGATCAACCACAAACCACAAGAAGACAAGTAAAGCTCATCTACTCTCCACCTGATTCATCGACGACCTCTTCGGAACAAACGGCGCCGAAGTCGGCTTCGACTTCCTTCTCTCATCCTTTACACGCAGTCCTCGACTCAAACCACCCCCGAGACCCCGAGCAAGAGACGCAAACGGCGACGCAGCCTGCCAGTTCTCCAGGTCCTCTTCGTGCTGGCCGACACTAGCCACGATTTCGCTACCGTGTTTCGAGGAACCGGATCCATCGGAGGGCTTGGCGCGGTGTCGGTGGAGGGAGGTGTCGCTGCCGTGGGTGCTCGGGGAGGTCGGGTTGAGTTTCCACGGGTTCGTGGGGATGTCTGGGTCGATGTAGTCGGCGCATTTGCAGCCACAGCCGCTAGGGCAGAAGTGGTATTCTTCCTGATCGGTGTCGGGTGCCATGGAGAACCAGCCTCGGTGGCAGTCGAAGCAGCTGACGTGACCGCAGCCGAGACAGGGGATGAGCATACCTTCGACGACTTCGCTGCAGATGACGCAGGGGAGTCGGAGAGGGAGAGGCTGTTTTGGTTTGCAGTGGGGGCAGGTGAGGGGAGGGGATGTTATGCCCTTTAGGTGGCTCTTGGGAATTGCTTCGGTGAGTGCTTTGGTTGCGAAGATGGAGTGCTGTAGGGCTTGGCCGCAGCTGATGCAGTGGCGTTGGATCTCGAGACCTTGGTTTTCGGTATCGGTGGGCGCGGCTGTTGAGCTGCGGCGCTTGGAGCTGGGGAGGGAGAATGAATCGTGGTGGCTTCTGTGGCGACGGTGTGTTGGCTCTTTGGTGGGATTGGGGGTTCCGCCGATCTTCAGCACTTCGCTACGTTGTACTGGTAGTCCCCATATAGAGAGCAGATGAGCGTATGCTGCGCGGTACGACCGGTACAGCCACTCTTTCTTGGGATCGAGGAAAGTGCTCTGCGACTGTCCATTGCCCTCGAAAGCAGCTTGGTTCTTTAGGACTGCGCGAACCTTTGTCGACGGTTTGGCGGGAGTAGGTCGCTCGCTCTCCGTGTCAGAGTGGGTTTGTGACGTGAGCGCGGTGGAGGTAGTTAGGTAGTCGGGAATGGCTGAGACTGGTTTCGCAGTAAAGGCACTCGTCACCCACACCCCTGGCCCTCCGACTGTGTTGGGGCTGCCGTTGGGATTGAAAACCTTCCGTGACAAGGCGGTTGCTGGAGGAGATGCTGACGAAGGACCAAATGTAAGAGAGCGGGAAAGAGACGAGGCCAGAACAGAACCAATGCCAGAACCACTACGTGGTTGGGATTGCTGGTCAGGTGAAGCAGCGATTGCTATGTTCTGGGTCCATATCTTCCGGTCTGCTGCTAGGGGGCCGGCTCGAGTGGCTAGAGGAGGGGTTGTGCCTGTGGAGTATGGCGGCGTGGAATCGGGACGCCATATTTCAGATGACGAACGCCCCGAACTATGCGTAATAGGCGTTGCGTGGCTGTCCTTCGGTGTAGAAGCAAGCGGCACGGCCGTCTGCGGTTTGCTCTGCGTAACAGAGTTGGGGGAATACAAATCAAATGAGAATGCATGCTCCTCCATCCGCCGGGAAACGGCCCGACTGACATGAGCGTGTTCTTTGGAGGCCTCGTCAATGTTGGCCTCGTGCAATACACAAGATAGCATCGCGATCATTTGCACGTCGCCGATCTGTTCAAAATGTTCGAAGAGAGCAGGGATGAGCCACTGACCACCGAATGGATGGTCGCCCCATTGAATGACAGAATTTAGAAACCCTTTGTGACGTTGGTCCTGGCTTCCCATGTCGTTACTCAGATCCACGGCGCTATCTTTCCTTTGAATGTACGGTCTATCCAGGGTGTCAAAACCGGATGATAACATTGAGCTCTTGCAGTTGTGCAAAATAAGCCTGACAAGCCCCCAAATCCGAGCCAGCTCGTAATAACCGTGGTCGAGGGCTACAGCTGAATTATGCGCACAAACGTCCGTGACTTTGCCGCAGATACGATATTTGCTAGCCAGTTCCCGCTTGGCTGGTAGCAGATCACTGAAGTCGTGGATTGAGATGACATTTTGCGAGCCTTCAGATGATTTCGATGTCATGGCGCCAACGGTCGACCTTTGGGAGTTATCGGTAGAGCGCGGACGATAAAGTCCCAGACTGCCACCGCTACGCCATGTCTGAGGCGTTGGAAACCGGTGCTGGAGCCCTGACAAGATACCAGAAGACCCGGAAGAGCTTGACGATTCGGCGTCCGAATCGTCAGAATATTCAGAAGCGCCATCGTCAGTGCTAGCCATGGTGACAGACGTCCGAGGCCCAGGAGAATTGGTCTGCAGGCGACCAAAGCCTTCGAAGACCTTGTCCGCTCTGGATAGCCTGGTCATTTCCTTAAACCCTAAGTTTTCGAGCCAATTGGACTTGTCTTTCCTGGATGGGAAGAAGCACACCAAGCGACCGTCGTTGGCCCATAGTGCACCGCATCCCTTGGCTACAGGGACCATGACATTGGCATTGACCGGTCGAAGCAGTTCAGAACTCATGCCTAGATCTTGGCTTTGAGACAAGCCGACCTCATCTTCATCGCTGGACTCCTCACCCCCAAGTTGGCCGTTGATGGGAGACTTGACGGTTTCTGCCGTTTCCCCAAGAATCCATGCTATGCTTTCTTCCAAGGTACTCTCGCCCAAGAGGTAGCGAACGACCCCCTCGAGACATCCCCTTTTGTGAGCAAGGAAGGTCTCTGCAATCGTGCGAAGTTCAGCTATCAACTTGTCGGCAAGCTGATCGGTGACCGCGGCAGTCTTCTGCACACTGAACGTTGGCATGGCATCTCGAGGGTAATCGACGGGGAATTTGATATCGACTTTCATGAAGATGGAGTCACCATCAGCACCCCATGGTCCGTGAAGGGATATAGTTGCCTTTCGTTGTCTGACATCAACCGACTCAAAAGCAACCTTGGTAAACTTTTCTCCAACGTGGGTAATCTCGTCGCCGAGAGTCTCAATATCCCATCCGGATATTTTCACGCCACGCATCCAGGAAATAGGGTTAGTATCAGTGCGAACGTTCGTCCGACCCTGCATTCCGATCCTAGAATCGGCGTTGGCCCCGCTCTGCGTCCATGCGCGAGCGTATGGGACCGAGATAGTGTTCATGCCCGGGTTACGAGACGTCTGAGGTGTGGAGCTCTGTCGAGTGGTGGGCGACAGCGAGTCCATATCTTCTTCCTCTTCGTCAATAGGCGTATCCCGATATGACCTATACAGTGCGCCCTTGCGTGTGAGCTGCATATTGGAAACATAAGTCTTCCCTTTCTCAAAGCCAACTCTTTGCATAATATCCGGATCGACCCTGTGTAAGCGTAGTTCACGATCCGTACCCCAGGAAACCAGCTGGAACTCTCTATTATCAATACCATCCTCTATCTCCCCGCGTGCTCTCCACAGAAACTCTTTCACCTGGCCTTTGTGTCCTAGGAAGCTGTGTACCAGAGGAAGTTCATCATTCGAAGTAGAACCCTCCCCAGCTCTCCGACTATATAAGTGGAGATCACTATTTCCTCTTTGTGGCATGGCCAAGACACCCCATCCAAAAGGGGTATTCCTTGCTCGCCATACTGGGAACGGCGTCTTGATCACCTTCTCCGGTACCTCTGTGTCCACTGTATAGTCCCAGAATTTGATCGTCTTGTCGAGAGAGCACGTTACAAGAGCCTCCGGCCGTACCCTGTTCCAGTCCAGCCCGTAAATCTTCGTGTTGTGTGCCTCAATAGACTTGATCGGATACGCGCCCATTCGCTTGTCCCATATCCGCAAGAACTTATCGTGAGAACTGGCAATGACATTGGGGTCCTGTCGGTTCCATTTAACTTGTGTTGCTCCAGCAAGCCAGTCAGAGAACGAGATAGCGGGACGGGAGGGCGTCCGCAGATCCCAGCAGTGGACGAAACTATCAACGGCGCAGGTCGCGAGCATATCTGCATGGTGTGCGGAGAAGTTGATATCTGTTATGGCTCGAGAGTGGGCGTGCAGAACGTGCTCAATCGAACTTGGCGAGGATTTCATGCCCAGGTTCCATACCAACGCCTTCTGATTTGATGTGCTAACGACCCAATAGTCTCGGGCAGCGAACGGGGACCATTGAACGTCTGCAACCTCCCATGGTGTGTGGTGCGGAAGATACCTTGGCGGCGAGTACGGCGAATCGAGATCGATGATGTGAAGACCTTCCTTGGAGGCTAGAACCACATCCCGTCCACAAGGCGAGATCGACATAGACCCAACAGGCTGCTCCACATGAAATGAGCTATCCTCCCCGAACGTTGGACTCTCGAAGGCCGACGTGAGGGGCCTGGGCTCGCTTTGGTCCACCATGTTGGCGTCGCCGGCTCCGGGCTTGAAAGGCTCCTTGGTTTCTGTGCTACCTCTTGGCTGCTATCCACGCCTTGGAGAAACGTTCAAACGGACTCAGAATATCAGGAAGCACATTGGTGAAAGGATTGCTTGCAGTCATACACGGCGCTATCATATCGACCGCGTTTGTCATGGGCTTTTCATCAATTGCGTAGGAGGAACGGGTCTGTGGAATTGGCTGTGCGCATTGTGGAGGTCGTTACGGGGGGCGGTCGAACTTGGAATTCCAGAGGCGCATGTACCGTATCTTCGATAGACCAATGATGGGGCGCTATTGGAACATTGGTTAATAAGATGAGTAGGGAGAAAGGATCACTACATCAATTGGAATCTTGCCTGGGGAATTGTAGATATCCGAACCAAGGGCCTCAGACAGCAGCAGTGGACTCCGCAAAGTCCGGGGTTGGCGAGTTGCTTCCCGGCCGCAGTCTCCGATTCTGCACACTTGGTTCCTCCAGCCTCCAGTGCCCGTTACGGCAGGCGGTGTATGCAACCTGCGCAGCCCCTCTGTCGGTTACGTCGTTCCATATCGAATCGAACTCCAGCCATAGGAACATCCCAGGTGGCTGTTGCTTCTACTCCCCGCGATCATCGCTAGAGGCTGCTGTCAAGTTCCGCCTGCTCCAAAGCTACGTGGGAGAGGTATCCGCTGCTTTCCGACTGCCAGAAATCTGCAGGAGAGCCGTAAGCCCCACCTTGATCATAACCGTGAAATCGCGGGGTTGAACAGAACATTAATCGTTCCTATCTCACAGACTCGAAATGGCGTTGCCTAAGCGAATCATTAAGGAGACCGAGCGTCTCATGGCAGAGCCGTGAGTTATCCGGTTAACAAAAGAATCCTTTCACAGTACAAATTGTTGACGCACGTCTGCAGAGTTCCTGGCATCAACGCCGTACCTCACGAAGATAACCTGCGTTACTTCGATGTCTCCATTCACGGACCGGCACAGTCTCCATACGAAGGTAAATAGAGAAGCATACATAGGCTGTTTGTATGGCTGTTGACTCTTTCAAGGTGGCATTTTCCGCCTCGAGCTGTTCTTGCCAGAGGACTACCCGATGACTCCGCCCAAGATTCGCTTTTTGACCAAGATCTACCATCCCAACATTGACCGCCTGGGGCGGATTTGCTTGGACGTCTTGAAGAGTATGCAATATTACACCTTAACGTTGGAAGGAGGATACAAGATTTTAGGCTAACGTGTGGCTAGATAACTGGTCTCCCGCTTTGCAAATTCGCACGATTCTTCTCTCCATCCAGGCTTTACTGGGAGCCCCCAATCCTGACGACCCGCTTGCCAATGATGTTGCCCAGCGCTGGAAGGAGGACGAGCCAGCAGCGATACAGACTGCCAAGGAGTGGACTAGAACCCACGCGATGACTTAGATAAGAAAGGCGGAAAGGGCTCCACCCGCTAAACAAACTGTAGGAGCAGCAATGTTGTGATGTGACCATGAGCAAAAGTACTGCGACATTCTGCCTTCCTGGCATTTTTTAGGATAGGCCTCGATTCTCCGGGACCTTTTCTTTCATACAATGAGAAGGCATCCATAACCATCAACTCTGGTTCGTTTCCCCGCAAGTGCTCATGTATGGCGATAGAGCTATGGCTCATTCCAGATGTGTGGTATAGGCATTTGCTTTCTTTCATCCGGCTGCGATCTGTTTTTCGATTTCGATCTTAGAGATTCATACATAGAATTGCAATATACCTGTAGCAGATCGTCGACTTTGGTTTAGTTCTACTGGTTCAACTGTCCTGGTGATTTATTCGGCACCTGGCTTGTAGTACATGATGATTTATGACTATCGATTTAGATACCATAGCCTACCCAGTAACATGATACTGCTGCAAATATCTCTATATTCCTGGCCTTGAAGGCTTCTAGATGTGAATAGTATAGTCCTAAAGCGAATCTAGGAGATTCACCATATTCATTACGGTACCAGAGTGAATAATTTCGTAGATTAACCCATACTAACACGTATTTTATAGCTTGGTTTTGCTTCCTTGCGCTCCCTTACGCTCCCTCGTGCAGTTATTTTCAGGACCAGGAAGATACCGATATTCTGCCTGCCTGCCTTATTCTACCATCAAGCGGTAAAGATAGTTATCTTACCAAGCACTTCAAGCAAACTACTCACAGTGCCCATTAACAACAGCACAATGAATAACGAGAACAATATGGACACCTCTGGAGAAGCAACGTATGTTTTCTCTTCTGATTGTATATCACCAGCAGAATTGGAGAAAGAGAAGCCATGCTAGTTATTTCGATACATCTGACACCCATCCTTCTAGAGACCAGTCTCATGCCTTCCAAGCAGAAAGCGAGGACCCGGTTTCTAACCTCACTCAACTGACCGACGACATCACTAGCCAGCTCGCCCGAGCATTTCACATCACAGACCATCACGATGACCCGCTTTTCTTTCCAGCTTTGTTTACAAGACCTGTGAATATGACGGCAACAGAGCAGGATAAAAGGGAAGATCCCGATGCAATGTCCCTAGACTCTTCTCCCCAGACTCTGCACTCAGTGTTTGGAGCTGGTGCGAAGCCCAACACACAAGGATCCCCTTCAACCAGTGCTGGTTCTCAAGAGATCAACAATACAACTGCTGCAGCTCGCAGCCTCGCAGGCATTCTGAAGAAGAACAAAGGCGCGAAGGCAGGGAAGAAAGTCCAGTTCGCAGCCTCTCCAGAAAAGGTAGTAAAGTGCTACAAATCTTCTCCAGGTGAGTATTCTCCCTTTGGGTATATTTGGCTACCATAGGAACAGCTGATACAGAGCTTAAGAAGAGGGACTAAGCAATGGCTTCCTGGCTCCGTCCACTTAAGTCCGTCCTTGAGTACGTCTGGCCCCAGGAAAGACAGACTACCAAGCAAGACAAGAAAGTCATCGTTTTCCGCCGAGCAAATTACCCTGTGGATATGGAGACCGACAAGGACAAGGACGAGGACGAAGAAGGAGCAGGCACGGACTACCACGATAGCTCTTCAGTTGGGCGCGCGAGCTCGATCGACGACCTGGTAACTTCTACCCAAAGCCCATGACTATTAGCCTATGCCTGCTGACAAGATGACAGGTTGATTACATTCGCCAGAGCACAGCTTGTCCTAAGCAAACGCGCGACCCCAAGGATGATTGGAAACGCAAGAGAAGTGGTGACACTAGGATTTGGGGTTATAGAAACCCATGGTGCACCAAATGTTACGGGGAATGCCCTCTTTGCGGTTCCGCCTGTTGCGTGTACGAGGAACTGAGGCGCGCAGTCGCGGATGAGGGATCAGATCCTCTAGTGGCACGAGACCGCAGACGGCTAATGGGCCTCATGGAGTCTGTGGGAGCCTACATCAAGGACGCGACCACGTTCTCCTTGTGTTCAACGCCAGCTTGCGGAAAGCATGTCTGCCCGTCCTGTTGCGGAATATGCCCGGACAAGAGTTGCCGAGACATACAGTGCAAGGTGAGCAGCGGATCTTACTCGTTTCTTTTCAAGTAGTGCATGAGTCCGTGTTGACACCGATGCTGTTAGGAGTGCAAGGCAGACCCCTGGGCCGTATGCGACTGGCACGAGTAGTCAGCGGGGCGCCACGTTATGAAGCACGACAATATCATGACGAATTTACGATAATATGCCGATGACAATTCACCGTACAGCGTCACAGATAAAGCTCCAAAAGGGAGCTCCGGATTTTTAGCCGTTGAAGGGTGGTATGGAGGAGTCTTCGGCAGAAGATTGCAGTTCTGATGATATTAGGTCATTATCCGGATGGAGAGAATAGCGCGCAATGAGGCCAATATATGTATTAGAAGGTCATCAATGCAAATATGCGATCATAACTCTAGTTATCATTTCAATCTAAATAGTAAACTGCCAAAAATTAAAGTAATACAACCTTAAAACCAATTCATCAAGCACATACATCCCGATCCCCAAGATCTGGAGAAGTCGAGGCGGCAACCAACCAGCCAAGGGCAGGGGCGGTCACGTGGCACCGCTTAGCGAGGCTCCGCACCGCACCACAATTGTGTCAGTCTCACGAACAGCTCGCCGCAGAGACCGCTTCGACTCAACCACCCAACGCCAACCGACAACATCTCGTCTCGACCGGCTGCGCATCTCAGACGTTCAAGATGCGTACCTACGACGATTCTTTCAGCGGTCAGAAGATCTACCCTGGAAAGGTGCGTTTTTATGTCCCTTTCCCGCCAGCAACATTTCACAAACGACCGGCCTCGAAATTCGCCACGAAAACCTACATCCACACCAGACCCTTCACCAATGCATACACAAAATAAGGATATATCAGTTGACGGTTGATTTTTGAAAAATTATAGGGTAAGCTGTACGTCCGTGGCGACAGCAAGATCTTCCGCTTCCAGAATGGAAAGTCCGAGTCCCTCTTCCTCCAGCGCAAGAACCCCCGCCGTATCGCCTGGACTGTCCTCTACCGTCGCCAGCACAAGAAGGGCATCTCTGAAGTCAGTACCCGCCATTTATCCCTTTGGATTCGTTGAGTTTGTTGTTTCGTTGTTTTGTTGCATGGGGTTGGTAAGAGGAGGACCTACTGGGGTGATGCATATATCATCGAATTACGACGCGAACATACATGAAGATGTGATTGGATATGACGGTTGAATCTCGCTTCGATGATATACTGGATGTGATCAACTACAACCCAAATGGTGGCAGTGGAGACTATCGCAACAACATTGAATGAAGAAAGGGGGGATGAGGATATAAGGTTCCATAAAAAGGAGACCACATGCTGACTGGGACCCTTTTTTCCAAACCTACAGGAAGTTGCCAAGAAGCGCACTCGCCGTGTCGTGAAGAGCCAGCGTGCCATCGTTGGTGCCTCCCTCGACGTGATCAAGGAGCGCCGCGCTCAGCGCCCCGAGGCCCGTGCCGCCGCCCGCCAGCAGGCCATCAAGGACGCCAAGGAGAAGAAGGCCGCCAACGAGAGCCGCAAGCGTGCTGAGAAGGCCAAGGCCGCTGCCTCCGGCGCCAAGCCCGCTCAGCGCATCCAGAGCAAGCAGGGTGCTAAGGGCTCTGCCCCCAAGGTCGCTGCCAAGTCGCGTTAAAACGGATTAGAGGCGGTACTGGCTGTTGGGACTGGGATGAAAGTAAAAGGATAAGAAATGACAACACTTATGGGGGTGGGAATATGTTATGGACATAGGGAATTTGGGAGGTTATTCTAATCAAAAAAATAGAAACCCCCCACGAGGAGCATTTTTTCTTTTTGCCTCATCAAAGATTTCTATTCTCCAAAAACATCATCAAACGAATTTCCTTGTTTTGTTTCCCTTGCGGCGTATGAGCGTTGGGTAAGGGGGATAAGATACTACTGTCCTTTTTGCTCCTTCCTCCTCGGATTCGAACAAGTTTCTTATTCGTTTCTTACGCCGTTTTCTTCTCTCCCCCAAGTGATATGTCTTCAAACTTATTACTTACCCAGGAACGGAATATTGAAATGGATGTGATATGATTACTTTCATTCTTTCCTATCTGCTTTGCGTACCAGTAGAAGCAACCCTGTAGTAAAAAGGTCCATGCGCAACATAGTCTACATGATCTCATCGATCCTTCAAGATCATCCTTAGTACGTAGACCAGATACCCCGGGGCCTTATCACGTGAATTACCCTACCTTGTAAATCCATAGGGCTCAGACCTAGACTAACCGTTTCCGGTACCATTCTTCAAGTCCGACCTCATGATGTTCATGCCTCAGGCACAAAGGCAGCAAGGGATAAAGTTGTATGCATGGCATGGCATATGTTATTCTTATGTGAGTTGAGAACGGTACCATGACAACTATCAATTGCATACGAGTTTGTTTACTTGTTTTGAGTACCTCACTATCCATGTTGTTCAATTGTCTATAATGTAATATTCACTAAGACTTCGATATGTAACTATTTCTCACTACCATGAGGTCTAAGGGTCATACTACTACTTTTAAAGAAATAGTACTGGATTTTCCTAATGATGATATATGAATGAATGCCAACAAATAACTGACTGAATACCTGCAGTCATCCTGCAAATATATAATGCATAATACTATAGTATAAATCAACAACCATGAAACCATCGAACAATAATAAGTCCCGACCCAACCCGTATCTAGACATCTATCTATATGTAGTGTACAACAACGACAACGACAACGCCCGAACATGATGACAATCAATAACCCCGAAACAACAGCCCGGAGATATCTTCAATTATGCATTACCAGCACCCTAATAATAATGAGCCATCTCCAATCCAGCCCGCTTAAACCCACACTTGAGATAGAATCCCTCATTCGCCTCGGAGCAATCGAGAATACTCTGCACACAGACACACACACACACACCATTAGCATCATCACCACGTCTATAAATGTACTACAGAAAAAAAGATGAACATACCTTGTAGCACCCCACCTGCGCAGCAACATAATCCAACGCCTGAATAATCCTCAACCCCAGCTTCTTACCCTGCTGGCTCTTATCGACGGCAATATCCTCAATATGGCCGACAAGACCCAACTCGTGAATGAACTTGCGCTCAACAATCAAGCTACCCGTACCCACGATCCGGTCCTCCCCATCACAGATAACAAGCAGGTAGTACTCATCATTGCGCGACGAGATCCAGTCGTAGCGCTTGTTCCACTGCTCCTCGGTGATGGTGCCGACGGTCGTCAGCACGCGCAGCACATCCAAGTAGCCGCGGCTGTAGTCGGAGCGACGGACGGGGCGGATCTTGTAGCCTTCGGGCAGTTCGGCGGCCACGGAGGGGGAGATGAGGGTCGTGGGGAAGAGGGGGGCGTCGTCCTTGGAGAATTCGGCGGGGGGTTGAGTGAGGGTGGAGGTGTTGGTCATTTTGGCGGTGGTTGGGTAGTCGTCCGTCTGGACTTTTTGTTGTAGAGAAGAAGAGGTTTTGAGGGTGAAGAGGTTTGTTTGTTTGGTGGTTTGGTTAAGGCAGGGCCCCTGGTTAGTGGCGGGGTTCAATTGAGAGTGGTGAAAACGGAGGTGGATTGTTGAAACGCTGGAATGAAGGAATTCTTCAGCGAGTGTGAGTGTGTGTGTGTCTGAACGAGAGACAGACAGTTTCCAACGAAGGTGATTATTTGAAAGGGGAAAGGGATGAGAGAAGAAAAAAAAAAAGGACAGGTCAGTCGAGTCAGTCGGTCAGTTCGGTCATGGAAAAGAAAGGGCCAGGCGGAGGTAATAAACAAGCAGTAAGAAAGGGCCCACGGTTTGCCTGAAACACCAAACACTTTGAAAATCCCGCCCCTGACTACACTATTTACGGTTCTTTCCGACTGACATTGGCCAAGCTGATCTACCTTCATTCCCTGATGGCGCAGCAACTTTACTACATGGTTAGTGTTCCTAATTTAAACACCACTTGACCGGTTTCCAGCAATCCACCGCCAGTCGTTGCTATCCGTGCATCTTGAACTATTCGATTTCGATCGGTGGGCGGGACCGCTTTGGTGGTCCAAAAATAGCACACCCCGGGGTCAGCCCCGTCATCAGCCCGATAAAAAAAAAAATCTATACTCCGTACAGCGAAGATATCTATCCAAGCAATAAGTTGAACATGAGAATAGTACAGTAGTATTCCTGAGTATACAAATATCTCCTAGGCAAAAGCTAGTCTTCGCTAGATGACTCCTCCAAGCTAAGCCAAAACATCTCTCCTCCTGCTATACATCTATTTCTTCTCCTTGGGGCTCAGCATCAGCTCGGGGCGGACGTGCTTGTCAAAGTCCTCCTCGCTCAGAGCCTTCAGCTCCATAGCACTCTGCTTCAGAGTGAGGCCCTTCTTGTGGGCGTTCTTGGCGACCTTGGAGGCCATGTCGTAGCCAATGACGGGGTTGAGGCAGGTGACCAGCATCAGACTACACCACCGTTAGCTGTCTTCTTTACACGTATCTAATTTCGGAAGAAATACATACCTCTCGTGGAGGAGAGAGTTGATGCGGGGCTCGTTGGCCTCCAGACCGTGCACCAGGTTCTTCTCGAAGCTGGTCATACCATCGGCCAGGATGCGCACGCTGTGCAGCAGGTTGCGGATCATGAGGGGCTTGAACACGTTGAGCTCGAACTGACCGTTCATGCCACCGACGGTGGCAGCGACGTGGTTACCCATGACCTGGGAGCAGACCATGGTAAGGGACTCGCACTGGGTGGGGTTGACCTTGCCGGGCATGATGGAAGAACCGGGCTCGTTCTCGGGGAGGACGAGTTCACCAAGACCGCAGCGGGGACCGGATCCAAGGTAACGGATATCCTGGGCAATCTTGAACAGAGAGCAGGCCAGGGTGTTCAGGGCACCGGAAGCCTCGACAATCGAGTCGTGGGCGGCCAGAACCTCGAACTTGTTAGGGGCGGTCTTGAACTCGGTGCCGGTCAACTTGGTGACCTCAGCAGCAATAGCCTCGTCGAAGCCCTTGAAGGTGTTCAGACCGGTACCGACGGCGGTACCACCCTGAGCCAAGTAGCGGAGGTGGGGGATGCTGGTCTCGACACGCTCAATGTTGCGGTCGAGCTGAGCGACGTAGCCGGAGAACTCCTGGCCGAGGGTGAGAGGGGTAGCGTCCTGCAGGTGAGTACGACCGATCTTGATGATCTTGTCGAACTTCTCAACCTTGACCTGGAGAGCATTGCGCAGGCTCCTCAGGGAAGGCAGGAGGGTGTTCTCCAGCTCCAGAACGGCAGCAATGTGCATGGCGGTGGGGAAGGAGTCGTTGGAGGAGGCGGACATGTTGACGTGGTCGTTGGGGTGGACGGGCTTCTTGGAGCCCTTCTCGCCGCCCAGGATCTCGATGGCGCGGTTGGAGATGACCTCGTTGGAGTTCATGTTGGACTGGGTACCGGAACCGGTCTGCCAGACGACGAGAGGGAAGTGGTCCATCAGCTTGCCCTCCGCAACCTCAGCGGCAGCCTGCTTGATGGCCTCACCGATCTTGGGGTCTATTTTCCAAATGTTAACCTTGCCGGAGCTGTGCTGCCTTGATCGATAGCGGCTTACCGAGGCCGAACTTCATGTTCACTTCAGCAGCAGCACCCTTGAGGATACCGAAAGCCTTGACAACGGGCTCGGGCATGCGGTCCTGGGGCTGGTTGATGTCGAAGTTGCCCAGGGAGCTATTGTCGCACCGGTCAGCGTCTGCTCACTCCTCATGTCGGTCGCATGTCCAGTTTCCAGTATGGCAGCGATTGTTGAGATCGGGATCTTACCGCTGGGTCTGAGCACCCCAGTACTTGTCCGCGGGGACCTAGAACAGAGGGCCGTTAGCATTTCCAGTCTATACGCATCAGATTCATGAATGTAGCACATACCTCGATCTCACCGAAGGCATCGGTCTCAATGCGGGTAGCCGAAGACTAAAACAATAACCGATTAGCAACGTCTCCCACTGGGAACAGTTCGCCATAGCGAAGTCATCCGCATGATAGATGCGATTCAATAGCAAGGGTAGAGCATACCATCTTGACGGTGGTACCGAAAGCTCTCTTGCTGGAGGTAGAAGTCAAGGACTGGAGACGGGGGAATTGTTGAACAGGTCGGCTATTGGAGCTCAGAAGACGACGGCAACTGAACGAGGCGGGGGTGAAAGCCACGGCAGTGCGGGCAACTGCGGGGGAAGCCGAAGCTCGAGATGCAGCATGTGTCAAGGAGGCCATCGAGCGCACCGCGGCTCGGGAAGTGTGGGCAGATGTCAACATGACGAGCGGCTTTTGGTTCTATTCATCATCACGCGGGTTAGTCAGTGTGGCTGACAGGCCAATGGTGCCATTTTTGGGGGGACCACAATTCAAATCCTGTTGTGGATATGTGCGGGGTGTTGGTCGTACATTTTCACTCTAAAATAAACAGAATAAGAGGACAGATCTAATGATATTCCAATTCTACCCAAAACCTGGGGGACGGCAAACAAACCACGCAGAAAAGAAGGGAAGAAGAAGAGCAGCAGCAGCCGCGCATATTTAATCCACCCCAACTGTTTCCGATACCGCCTGCCGAAATCTCCCGGCCCGGTAATGTTCAGGACGCCGGTTACCCGTCTGCCACACCTT